GAAGCTTGCTTAATATTTGAGCATGGTTGACCTTGTTGTGAAATGACATTTTAGAATAGTTATAACACAAGAAATCCATACGCCCCTATTGGAAAAGGATATCCAGAGGAGCTAATTGGATCGATATCTGACAAGAACACGACTCATTAGGACTGTTTTTAGAAAAGCTAAGTATAATTCGATTGTCCTATACTATACTCCAAACATCAACCAATCCATCATGGTGTCTTTCCCAATTCTGAGAAATCGAAGCCTATGGTTCGCCATTCTACGCTATTACTTACTGCCTGTACCAACTTTCCTAATCCAAACCACTCATCTCCAATCCATTTTCTAATGTAACGGAGCCAAGTAAGCCCTCTGTCTGCCTCTCGCTTTTCTTCCTTCAATTTTACTCATCAGAATGACTACCAACTTTCCATGAAATCTAATTGTACGCCCGTAGCGCTTCTTCCGATTCTTATATATATCAAGCACTTGCCTTTTGTCTTTGTACGTTCCAATACTTTTTCATAAATAATTATTCACTTGTAGCTGACTTTCATAATTAGTTTGTCACACTACGTTTCATATGGTTCTAACTGTCGTTTTGTTTCAACAGAAAGAATCTAGATTTCCACTCTGTAGAGTACGACTGATTATACGTAAAGAGTCACACATAACACATGACTATTATTTTTCAATTTGTCTTACCTAATTAATCATTTGCGACTGAAGATGGTGAGGTCAATATTAAATAATATTTCTTTGGAGGTTTGCTGTTAAAAGACGTAGGTAGTCTCTTATACCTGAGATTCTTCTGATCAAACTGTAGAGAATGATGTTGCTCTTGGAAAACTTTTAAGGCCTAGGGTATAACCGTGGAGTCAACGCGAAAGACAAGAACAGTGTTGAACAATGTAGCCAACTATTGCTTTGAGGCAGCAACATTCGTTGAATTGAAGGAAATAATTGACAAAAGATGTTTTCAAATTAATAATGAAACTATTTAATGACATGAGATGAGAAAGTAGAACTGATACTGTTGGTTCACTTCAGTACCATCTTGAAGAGATGCACAACAGAAGACAACACCCTCACAGAAGCCAGTGAAACAAAGCCGAGTTCTGAAATGAGAGTCCCCCCGTAGAAAAGCGACAAGTCTTCGGACTTGCAACGCTACAATCAGGGGTACAATGCCCAATAGGTGGACAAAGCAAATAGCTCGATGCGCCCTTGCTATAACGAAATACACTCTCATACACTGAAATGACGATAAATTTCAAATTTGTGTTTAGTCTTGTGTTGTGACATGACTTCTTGTATGAAAACAGCTTCGACAGAAAGCAAGTTACTGTTTTTAATGTCTCAAGTTAAACAGAAACAACAAAATATTTTCGTTTATCAACTCTATTGCCAAATCTTTGGTCTATAAAAATGAAGTTGCAGAAGAAAAGAAATGACTGGAATACTTTTACAAGACCAACATATTTAATTACAAAAAAGAATACAATTCTCAAATGAGTATATGAAGAAACTATCATTGACACACAGAAAACTGTAATGTCAATATTTTTAATAAAATCGTTGACACGACCATTGAATTTGTGAAGGAGGGGTTTCACTACAGGAAGGTAGCTTATTATTCCGTTTCTTGTACTGCATTGCGGATTCGTTGAAAATAAGCTAAGAAACTTATTGAAACAATGCGTGGAGTACCAATTCTAAAAATCGGCTTATTAGTAAGTGAGGCAACTGAGTCAGCGTAATATAACTGCAGGGAGAATTGCAGACCCTTTTCATGGAAGGCGGATAAAATAATCGAGGAAAGTGTATTGGAATACATGTACAAGCACAAGTTAATATCATTGTTTCCAAACATTATTGTCTCACTGAGAATTCTGCTGGATTTGTCCATCTCAGCTAAAGGAAAAACAAGTTTTCTAAGCCACAGTTGGTTAAAACCTATTTGAGATCAACCATGACGTAAACATATTGAAAGGACTAACAAAAATTTCTACCAAGCATGAAATTACACAATAATTGGACTTGGAGCAAGCAGTACGAATTTCGTTCCATTGGACGCAAGGAAAATGAGTTTCTCGTAACATTAAAATGTTGAACTGGCCAAATAGTCTCATGTTATCAGTTACTGTAATAGACCCTAAAGCTTAAATAAGTAAACGCAAGATAATAAATTAGATTTTGTGGCATAACTGGAGGTGAAAAAAAAATGGAAGGAAAGAGTAGATTGAAAAACTTGCTAGACATTAAAATAGCTAATATCGGTCCTGATACCTCATATAACATGTATATTTTTATATACCTTTCTTCATGATATAAGAAAATGCCAAAAATGTTATTATAGCATTTGGTATTACATTTCATTAGTGACTCAGCGGTATGCCTGCAGGCTTGTGAAGCTAGAACTCAGGTTTCAAAAACTGTTGTGGGCGAGGTACAAATAAACCATTCTGTAGCTTTGCGTTAGACAACAACCAAACCACGAATGTCAACTTATAATCATACATTATTTTATCAACGGAGAACAGGGAAATATAGAAATGTGATTTTATGCAATAAAAGGCAAAAAACATAATATTATTATATGAAGTCTTGTAACACAAACAAAAGGGAACTTCAATCTTCCAGTCAAGCAAATGGACCATGGCCTGTTCTAAAAGGTGACCACTTGTACGGCTACAATAGCCACTGTGCAAAGAAAGATTATTGTATATTATTCTACAAATCCTCCTGTCATTAAAGTAATCGCAATCACTCAAGATTATCAATGAACAGAAGTAATAGATTGTAAACAATTAAAAGAGGTAGAAAGATAGAGAGAGACGGAGATGAAGGCTTTCATTCGGTTCTACGAGGAAACTAGGTGCCTGCATTTCCGTATAGTAAATGTTGTGATAGTTTGTGACTAGAGTGTTTTAAGTTGAGAAACGTATATGCGCCCAGTTCCTGCGCAGGATGTTAATTCTGTTTTGATACAGTTATAAATATAAATTATTTTTTAAATTAGTAAACTGCAAGCTGAGGCACCCGTCCTACATCCGGGGGCATAAGGATTGAATGTAGGGCTTGAACTAATGAATTAAATCAATAATTTATATTAATGTGAATAAGCTATTTCACACATAATTTATTTTACAATTACTTTATTCACACCTACTTTACTCCACATTACATTACAGAAATGATGTTACAATTACTTTACTTTATTACTTTTACTAATCCCTCTTTACAGCCTAAGTGTTTGTTGATACTCTGAGTGATTCTTGATAGACTACATTAGAAGTTCTTCCTCCTTCCTGGGCCAAAATAAAAAGATTTATTGGTGATTCTACTCTTGAACATCCAATATAGAAACTACCACGTAAAAAGCAAGAGGTTTTCAGATGTAGCCCTGCTACTTTAAGGGCCTGATTTTGTGTTTTGGTTGCCATTTTCCTGGCAAAAATGTGAATGTTTAACATTTTTAATGAAAACACTTAAAAGTTTTCAGGAAAAATTAAAAGAAACATCGAAAAGAAACTAAAAAAGTGGAATAAATATTGGTCTAAGACTGTGGAGTCATTAGCTAAACAAACATAATTTTGTTATGGATGTTACTCATGGTGGGCGGAGCCAGGTAATAACCATCCTATGACATGCTCTTTGGTCCAATGTATCATACTACCAAGTTTGATTAAGATTGGTCTAAAGATCACAGAGTAGTTCACGGACAAACAAAGATACTCACTTTTTTAGTTTTATAAGTTTAAATAATGGTTCCGCTAGCTTGTGATGGAGTTATGAACACAGTTTCAAACGTGGCACCCCAAGATCCCAAGGGAAGTCAAGGACAGAAAATCAGATGTCAGGTTCAAGCTCAGCGACGCTGAAAACCTGCTTTTAGAACCCCATAATACCTGGGTGATATTTCTGGCGCGTTTTAACATCCTCTTTGGGAAGGGGGAAGGGCTATGCATTATACATAAAGACACTCTCGGGTCACCCCGAGCCTACTTTAATTCTTCTAGCTTGAAACTAAGTTTGCGTCAAACAAACTGACACACAAATAAACTTAATATGGGATGTAAGTTAATATAAGTATTGTGTTGTCTTTCAAATTTCAGTTTTATGTACTAGCCCTGAAGAAACCGCAAAGGTGGAACATTGGATAAATTAGAAATTATATTATTTTAGCTGGAGTGTAAATGTTGTTTTTCTCTAACTTTTTTTTGTTATCAAAATAAGTATTGTGTGTTTGTTTCTCTAGTTACGTAAATCCCAAATTAAGAAAGTTGGTGTACTTATGAAGCCTAAGCTGAAACAGGATTATTGATCCTGTTTGAGAAATCGCGTTAAACTGTATGGCGTGGAATACCGACATAAGAAACCTATGATACTTTTAAAAGTAGCAAATTTAATGAACCATCTATATGACAATATTCAGTGTTATTAGTTTTTCAAGTTCGCTGTATGCATATTGAAGTATATATATACGTTTTTATCCAAGAAAAAGTTCATTTTATAGAAGTTTAATAATTAATGTGTTTATTTTGTTGGATTTTGCACAAAGCTACAATAGGCTAGCCGTCCCTAATTTTGAAGTAATAGACTAGAGGGAAGGCAGTTAGTCACCATCTCTTGGGCCACTCTTGTCAGATCAACTAAGTGAATTTGACCTTCACTCTTATAACGCACCCATGACCCTAAAGTACTTAGCGTGGGATTTTTTGGGCGGTAATGAGACACAAACCACCGAGTCTCAGTTCCATAGTCTGGCACGCTAACTACTAGTCATATTTTTGATTAGATATGTTGTCTACCTCAAAATATTGCGTAATTAAGTGGTTTTAAACATAACACCAAGTTATTTTATTATTTTTTTTAATTTTATTAATAACCAAGTTATTTCTTTGATAAAAATCACTATTATAAATTACCAAAAATCTTTAAATGCTTATTTCTCTTTTTATTTCTTTTTTACGTAATTAAATACAATAATCAGTATTAAAACTGTTGAACAAGAAATTCAGGTGCGGGATTAGCCTACCTAAAATGATGACATGAGCAGAGTTCTGTGGAACATGGATTCAATAATAAAAATGGTTTAATAACTGCATATACATGTCAATTTTCATGATAAAAAAAGCTGTCAAGGCAAACAATATTTGATTTATTGAAAAACCTTTTACATGTTGCTTATTCAATAATGAAATAAAATATCCAGTCTACCTAATGATTTAAATCAATTCAAAAAGAAACTATTGATATTCATCATTGTCATTATATTCAGAATACAGAAAGAATTTCATAAAACAAGGTCAAATTAAGGGCCTTGAATTAATGCGCTTGTGAAACCAGTAAAAATTAGTCTCTAAAACTCAGTCACGACAAATTAGCTTACATGTCTTAACCACAAAAGTTCCTAACATCTAATAGCTTATCAACACATTTTACACTCTCATTTCCTCTGTACTGGCTCTAGCAGGAGGCGCCACCCTTTGGCAGCCGTGATGTAACAGAGGTTGAGCTTCGGGCATCGGTTTTTCTTCTTGAGGACTGTAAACGGATTTAGGCGGTGCCTTTGGAGGTGTGGGTGATGGAGCAGGAGGAGGTGGGGGGAGTTCCTGGCTAGAAGGGGAAAGAGGAGGGACCCGAGATACTTGTTTACGCTGAATTCCTGCGATGTTGTCATTTTCTTGTGCCACCTTCATCTAAAGAAATGAAATAGTTTACTGTTAGTAATAGCCAACTATCATTTGGATACTTCCATTGAATGTCAGAGGTAATCAGTCATCTATTGTATGTTTGTCACCTCATAGGGCATCATTCAACTATAGTTCTATGTTTTGAAGAGTAGATAAATTATGAATTAAAAAAAATTACATGATTTCACGTAAAACGTAAAAGTCATTAATCCTGTGATGATGCTCTTGCGTTTTACTGACCTAGGAAGACGACCCTGAAATTGCTTTACAGAGATTTGTCGTGTAACTGCCATAACACTTACTTGCCATGTAAGTGCCCTAATCTTGTTTAAAGTGAGCTTCACCAAAATTGTACAGAAAAACCGCATTTTGCATTGTGCTTTAACCATTTCGAAATGCAATTATCCTGGTGTCTCATTGTATGTTAAATATAATAACTTAGCTTTATACAGAAAAGATAGCTAGTACCTAGAAGAATTAGAATACACAGGCAAACTGGAAATATACAAAAGTGAGATCCACCATTGAGACAATTACTGGATTTAATTAACTACAAAAAAATGCGTGCAAACGAATGCAAAGTACGCTTATACGAAACTAACTAATCCTACTTAGGATTTCATACTGCTTACATACATAATTAAGGAGTTATTCTTTTTATTATATAAATGTATGTATAATGCCCATTTTAATTGATTAAAAGTTTGAAATATTCCCTAATAAAAGTTCTGTCAGGAGATTAGATTTTGGAGAAAGTTTTATTTAATGTATGTTCACTTAGATTAATAGTATACACATCAATTACAAGTGATTATGTATGTTAGCTGAACTTAAATGAAAACATATATTAGAATTAAGAGGTTAAGACACGTGTTTTAAGTGGTTTTCTATAAACGCAGACACTTATAAATGCGGTTAGCTGCCATTCAATATATTTTACTAAAAATCGCACATTTTAAATATTCTTCAGTGGTCATAAAGTTACTCTTGTTGTACCACTTTTGATCTTTGATAAATGAAATGAACTAAGGAAAGGTTAAACGATTTTAGGAATAGTTATTAATCTTGATAAATGTGTAGATAAATGCACACTAATGAAACCCGAGGCTATCTGATATTTCACGAGATTTAATTCTGTAATCCATCTGATACCACGCTAACAGTCATTACTCTTCATATGGTTACAGCAGTAATGTTATTGCATCATAAAACATTAATGTTATTATTACACAATACGTAAATATCTCATTTATTTATTGATTTCTAGCTACCAAACAGAGACGTGAAGCTTGCCTTTTACCTTGTGATTGTTCTTTTGAAGCTTAGCTTCAAGTTTGTTTTTATCTTTTTGATAAAACATTCCAGTAAAAATCAAGACATTCAGAATAAGCAGGGAACAGCCAACTGCAATAGTGACACTGAGCGCTGTAGAGTAAGTACTTTGTTCAGATGGCTGAGTTGTGCCAGTGGAGTGGTTTAGAAGAACTCCTGGAGTGGTTTCAGCAAGTGGAGTACTTGATGGCCCACTTGATGTTCCAAAATGGTTTAAAGTGGTTGGAATGCTGGAAACTTCGGTAGAATATATATTATCATCAGCTGTTGTAGGTAGTAGGTCAGAAGACAGAACTCCATCTTGACTATGTGGGTTACCAAGGAAACTGTGGTGAGGGTATACTCCTGTGCCGCTTCTGTGTATTTTGGGGATTAAGTTGTTCCAGAAAGAGAGCTGATGTGCACGATAATGGTCACGAATTTTTGGTTTGGCTCCTAAAAAACAACTATCTACTAATTAAAAAATATTTTATGAACTAAACAATAAATTAAACACTCGTGTCAGGCAAGGTATTAGAGAAAGATGAAGATTTAAGTTATAGGTACGGATACAGTGTTTGCTGAGTATAAGCAATAGTTCCTAGAGCTGTTTTTACTGAAATTAGATATAAGACTACTTACACATTCAATGGCCACTTCTATTTCTTAATTTTGTTTTATTGTCACTCGATTTCCTAAACACGTGAATTGGACAGTCAAGTATTCTACAATAACTTATTGTTATTGTAGCTTATTGAGTCATATTTTTTTATTTACTACACCTGATGGTGTTTGTGATTTTTTTGTTCCAAATTTTTATCAGCGCGTTTACTTCTTCAAAACATGAAAACAGAAAAGAAGTACTCTACACTATAACTACATTACAAGCGATTTTGCTCAACAATCAAACTCATAAAGGTATTTACTTAGTAATATAGTGGATAGACAGTATGGAACTTTCACCATGGAAACTCTAACAAATCTTTTATGTACCAAATGAAAAAACAAAAACTAATCAACTTCCCACATTTAATATTTTCTTCCCAAACAAAAATTACCCAAATCTTTTTACGTGATATGTTGATACGAAATAGAAGGTAAAGTATTAAACTTCTATATTTACAAAATTACTCCAAAAATGACTTTCTACGCAGATGTATAGTTTTATAGATTTTAATGCAATCCATTAAGGGTTAAATTTCCATTAGATTTTTAAACAATAAAATCAGCCTAAGAGATGCAACTAGTTTCAACAGTTTCGAGGATTCTTAGAAACAAACATAGATGATTCGGCCAGCTATTAATATAGAAGTCTAAACCCAAAAACAAGCTTGTTTTCATAAATCAAATCTCGAACAAAATTGAACGGAAGAAAATTTTAATGCTAAGCTATTCTGTTTATTCAGCGAGATTCATCATGGTTGCATATTTTTAGTCAAATTTTTAGAATGCGTTTATTGAGTTTTTATTCTGAATAGTTATTCTTAAATGATCAAGAATGGAAAGAGAAATTGAAAAAGACTTACTCTGAACAACTTTCTTGTCAATCGATAAAACTAGGCCTACGATCATACATTAACGAGATATTATTAATAATTTTATGTATGCTATGGTCGAATACCAATTATATGATAGTGTATAACCACTTTATTTTTAATTTCTTTCAGGCCATAATCTTATTAGATATTTTTCATTTGACCTACAAGCACACGTATGTTTCCTAACTGAAAACGAACTAGTCGAGTAATCATGTTTACTCTCTCAAAGGTTTTGGCCCTTCAGTAACTCAGTGATAAACCTGCCGAATTACGACGGGGCAGGCAGAGCACAGATAAGCCATTGTGTAACTTTTGTCTTAACAACAATAATCAATCAGTCACAGTTTTTAACTCGTTTTCTAGTCGTTTACATTAAGCTCTGACGAGAAGAGATAGTTAGGTAAACGTAGAATAGATAAGAAATGTACGAATATTTATCGGTTTCTTTGTGAAACTTAGCTTTGACACGTAGGTGGTACATAAACACTCCTGAAGCAGTCTTCTGTTTATACATATATTGCATGAAAACAACTAACCTAGTCAGTTTTATAATGGGGTTTTTAGATTATTCTTTACAGTAGAAGCCCCAAGCCCACTTTTTTTTTTATTGTTTCGCTGAAACAAGGGTTATCATACTTTATTAGCATACTTGCGTGAGCTGAATCAGAGGATAAGAACTAGCGAGACATCCGAGCGTAGGATTGATTGCCTTGATTATCACGATAGCTAATGTGTTTTCTAACCGGGCAATTTACACGCAAGTAAGCATGATTCACAATTTATCCGTCTTCATCGCAAGTATTTGAAACGATAACGCTGTTTCAGACTAAAAAATAATACTTTTTTTCTTATAAAGCGTTTTTAATTTACTGAGAAATGTAAATAACTAAACTATAGAAATAGTGTATTTTGGTTCTCGACGGAAGCCTTATGATAACACTACCAACTCTGGTTATCTGGTATAGCCGCTTCTCAAACCTACAGTATTTTATATTAAAAAATCGTTACTAAAGAAGGATTCGCGTCTTATGTTAGAATCATACTCTTATCTACCTAATACATATAAAGCCATTTTGCTGAAGCACTTAACTCAAAATAAAGTCATATTTTTTTTATAAATAGATCATTTGGATCTATTTGGCTTTACAGAACTTTCTCTTTTCTTCTTGGCATTGAATATAATTATGGTGATTAGTAACACTTTGGTTAGTTGAATTTCATTCTATTTTCGTCACATAATCAATTCATCACAAAAGGAAATAAATTCTTAGTGTGGATGAAGTTATAAACATTATTTCTGTTACTATAAACTTTTCATATCTTTAGTTTCTGCGTGATTTTTAGCGTTTTGAAAATACCCATACCTAGACTTATGTATTTCTGAAGAACGTTGTCAAAGGCTGGCCACTCAACTCGTTCGAATCGACCGCTAACTCTGTCAACAACTTCGTCTTCGAAGTGCAGAGCATTAGGATCACTAAAAATCACAAGAAATATTAGTGTGGTAACCATGCATTATGCTACATTCAGATATGAGATAAATTAATATACTTTTAAGAAATTTATACACACACACACACATATATATATATATATAAACATGGACATTATTCATCTGACATCATATTGTTATGCACAAAGAAATGTACTACAACTGATGGGCTGAAAACTGATGTCCATAGCTTGTAGTCCAATGGCTGTCATAGAATTAATGAAATAACTATTTACTTTCATTTATTTTCGTACTCATTGTTTTGCTAGGCGTAAAGGCGTGGCTATTAACGTACCCCAACTGTTAATCCAAAGATTCACGATTTGCGTACCGTTGCCACAAAAATGCGCGCCGTACAAAGGTGAGTGCAATGTGGATGTGACCGTTTGATCTCACTATTCAACGAGATAATAACAGCCTTGGAGTTGTCGATGGATGCTAATCGTCGATGGATGCTAACTGTCAGTGGATGCTGTTCACTAGTTGCCTTTTTCTAGTCTTTCCGTTCAAAATTAGGAACAGCTATGCGCAGATTCTTCTTGTGTTAGTTCCCGCAAAAATTCGGAAACAAACAAAACAATCATTTATTGTACTGTATGATCGCAAATGCTCATCAAACATTTGTGAATCAAGTTTCATAAGTATCATTTTCTTAAGATACATGAAGCATTGAAAATATTCTTTCTACTCAGGCTGCACTTTATGAACATTTGAAACGCTCTTTCTACCACGCAGGTCATGTGTCAAATCAGTCACTTATTTTTATTACAGAGCAACTAAATTCAGCAAATTGAGGATGGTAACAAGTTGATGACAGTTTGACATCGAAGTGGACAATCCTTATCAAAATCTTACCAGAAACTCCTTCACTCCAGCTCTAAGACATAGTGCAGAAGGCGAGTGGATGATATCGAGCAAGTTTTAAAAGTACTCCCCCCCCCTTGAATTTCGTGTACGGTTATGCCATTAGGATTAATCAACACAGTAATAGTGTTGTACGCATTATTTGTTATTTGTGAATTGGAAGACCTAAAAAAACAAACTTTCTGTTTAATTTATAACGTTTAGAAGTTCGTGTTTTAGCAATTATTTGAAGTGCACATTCCTGCATATATATATTGATTTATTGAAACTACATAGCTATGAATTTTTATTTAAATGGCTAAAATTTTTGGCATTATTGGAAACCATATTAGTAGAAATTTTGAATTTTATATTATAATATTTCCTAACTCATTTTAATTTTGCTTTAAATAAATTTATTTTCCTCCTATTAAGTAATTTTTTCTTTACATATAAAACATGTGGTGACCTCAAAAACATAGTAATTGACACCAAACATTAAATTGTGGCTCAGAATCTAATCAAAGGCCATATTAGCGGCCATCGTGGATTTGAGCATCATAATTTCCATAGACTTCAAAGGTACCAAAATTGATGCATATCTTACATTCTGAACGACGTTTTGCTCACCAGATGGACCATGAGAGGAGAGAAGTCTGGCTGACAGCACTACTAAGACTAATATGTTAAGAATACCATAATGTCGTCACCAATTTATTGAGTCTAAACATTGTTTTAAAAGTAAAAATAACTGCCTGGAATGAAACTCTCTATTCATAAATACTTTACCACGTCACAAAACCTCAAGTCTCACTTGTTTCTTATCAAAAATTAGTAAAAGTAGTTTTATTCAGTACCAGCACATAAAGAAAACCGATATAGATGCATTTTCCAAATTACCGATTACCCTTAAACTTCACAATAATAGCTAATGGTATCGCTCTTCTATTGAGAAGTCACCTGCCTTAACTTACTACAATGACCTGAACACAAGTTTGAAATTATAAGTCTATAGTTTTATATTTGCTAATAATTCTTAAATGGCTATAAGTTCTCCATATTCTATTGCATTCTGTACCGCGCTGAATATAATGGTCTGATAGTTGCACTAGTTCGTCATTGATAATTATGACAAACTTAATGACATATTTATTTTTATTATATTTTCTAGTGCAGCAAATATTTCTAATTCTTGGTCTGTTTCTACAGAACTCGAAGCATTGACTTGGATTAGCTATTCAATGCGAGTGCGAAAACTTTTTGCTCATCTATACTGAGTGGTAACAAGTAAATAGACACCTAATTTTTCGTCAATTA